GAGGGTGGTTTGGTTTGGGCTGCGCATCACATGGTTGCACTAGCCTGAAAAGAAATATTTTTAAACCTGTCCTGGCCCCAGCCCGAAGACTGAATATCATAAATATTCGGGCCCGTATCCGGCCCGAACCATTGACAATCCCGCTTAAGAGCATGAGAAAAAGCAATCCAAAATGAGAACTAATATTTATACAGGGGTATGAGAAAATACAATCTAGATGGAGAAGCAATAGGTAAAGTTTTTTATGAGTGAGTGGGTGCAAGAGCCCGATGACTCTTGAACGTGTATCTTCGAAATGGATGTTGTATTAAGTGCGCATGGTCAAATTAGATATGGGTGGAGCCGAAAAAATCCCCTATTAAAAAAAAGCACATCTTAATGTTCAAACTCTTTATATATATATATATATATATGATCAACTTGGCTTAGAGGATGAATGTTAAAAATTTAAAGTGAATTTTAAAAGAGGCCCACACATGTATATATAAAGTCGGTTGACTTATCGAAACCCCATCCAAAATAATATTTGTGTGAGTGCTTAAGGGAGACGTTTATATAGGATTTCGCAAGTGAATATTATAGAGAGACACGCATGCATAAGTTGGCCTATATGAAGTTGTATGAATATTATAATTTTAAAATTACGATGTGTAGCATATAAAATTAGGGATTATACATAATGAGACTATTTACCTTGGATACAAGGTGGTTATAATTCCTTACAACTATGTGAAATTTGATTGATTGGATGTGTCACAAAGTTCGAGAAAATTTCTTTTGAAGTTTGAGTTTCGTCAATAGAATAATTGCAGCCACCCAATTTTTTAGGGTAATTACATATGTGTTTTATATATCCCCACTTCTTTATTTTTTCCAAATTTGCCCCCATGTTTCAAACATGAGAATGTGTTTTAATTTTATTTATCTATTTATTTATATATATTCATAGAGCAGTCTAATGTCAAAAAAAATCAAATTGCTCTATTTATAGGAGCAGTCCAGTATTTAACAACCAATTACCCTATACCATACTATGATGCGGTCCGATATTTGAAACATTCTACTTTCAAATATCGGACTGCCCATGGATGTTCTGCACCCCCTACCCCAAAACCAAGAAACAGTAAAAGAAGAAAAAGGGTAATTGTTTCTTTTACCTCCAAGAAACTTATCTCTGTCTCTAAATAAAAAATTAAGAAAACCCATTTCAATCTCAAATAATCTTCCTCTCTCACTCTCGTATAAAGCATTACAATTACAATACGAGCGATTCTTCTCTCTAAAACTGATCTCTAGAACCTATTCCATCCTCCAAAAGAAGCAATTCTCTTTCTCAAAAACACGGTCACTACTTATTACTCCCCTGCAACAAAACCCTCTCTCTGCGATGGAATCTCTCTCTCTATGTCAAATCATCAAGGGGTTAATTTTTATTTTAATTTTTTATTTCAGATTGACCTATAGATATTAAAAACTAATTATTAAAATTAACACGAGCAAGAGCAAAGTTAGAAAAAATAAAAATTTCGGAGAAAGGACTTCGATATAAATATGCCATAATTTGGGACCAATATGAAATTAGTATATTTTTATATGGAACAGACCTAACTTTTTATCCATATTAAGGTGTTAGTGCATGAATAGTATAAGGAAAAAGTTTATATATCCTAGCAACTTTTATACATTTTAAAATAGTACATCTCATAACAAGTAATTTGGAACTATAGTTTTCCGATGGTTGAGAACCTTCTAATTGATCATCTCGACCTCGACATGTATGGAAATAAAGAAAAAAAAAAAAGGAATTCCAAATCCAAAAAAGTGTACATCTTATAACAAGTTATATGGACCATCTATTTTCAAGATTTTCGAATGTTTATTGATATGATTGATCCATATTATTTTTGGAATTCCGAATTTTATAACTATAGATGAAAATTAATTTTCAGGCCGACAACAAAGCAACTTCTCAGAGTAAATTTTAGAGGTACGCCTTATTTCTATAGTATAAGGAGGCAACCTCTAATTGATGTTTTTCGATATTTGATAACCCTCCAATTAATCATTTGGACCTCGATATGTATGAAAATAATGAGGAAAAAAAGAATTCCAAATCCAAAAAAAAGTACATCTTATAACAAGTTATTTGGACCTATATTTTTCTGATGTTTGAGAACCCTCCAATTGATCATCTCGACGTTATATGGAAATAAACAAAAATAAGAATTCTAAATCTAAAAAATAGTGTATATTCTAGCATGTTATTTGGACTATCTATTTTTAAGCTTTTTCAAGTGTTTATTGATATGAATGATCTGTACCATTTTTTAAATTCTAAATTTTACAGCTATGGATGAAAATAGATTTTCAATTCCAACATCCAAATGACATCTCAAAGTAAATTTTAGAGGTACACCTTATTTCTATAGTATAAAGAGGCAACGTCCAATTGATAGTTTTTTGTTCATTGAGCAAACCCCATTTCATTATCTTGACCTCGAGATATATGGATATAAAGAAAAAAAAAGAATTTCAAATCCAAATCTATATCATTTTTATCATTCTGAATTTTATAACTACGGATGAAAATAGATTTTTAAGCCGGCACCAAACAACATCACGCCTTATTTTTATAGTATAAGGAGGCAACCTCCAATAGATAGTCTTCTGATGTTTGAAAACCTTAAAATTGATTATCTTGACCTCAAGATGTATGGAAAATAAGAAAAAAAAAAAAAAGAATTGCAAATCACAAAGAAAGTACATCTTATAACAAGTTATTGGGACCCATAGTTTTCTGACATTTGAGAACTCTCCAATTGACCTTCTCGACCTCGAGATATATGGCAATAAAGAAAAAAATGAATTCCAAATCTAAAAAATAGTACATCTTATAGCAAGTTATTTGGACTATTTATTTTCAAAATTTTCAATTGTTTATTGATATAATTGATCTGTGTTATTTATGGAATTCTAGTTTTTATAACTATGGATGAAAATAGATTTTGGAAAAGTTTATATAGAGCCTAGACTCTAAACAATCAAATAAGAGCCTTCCTCAAAATTTTCACTAGCAAAGGTTGTTTTGATGCCCAAATATCCTCAAATTGATCATCTCGACATCAAGATGCATGGACTAAAGAAAAAAATGAATTTCGACTTTTGGAAATAATGCATCTTGTAACGTATTTTTGGACCATCAATTTTTAGGCTATTCAAGATTCCATAGATCTACTCAATCTACACTATTTTTTAAGCTCTAAATTTGATAATTAAAGATGAAAATATATTTTAAGGGTGTGGGTTCTATGAGGTTGCAACATTAAACAATCCAAATAAGGTGCACTTCCAAATTTTATCATAACATGTAATTTTCGTATAAAATATTCTTAGGATTATCTCAAAATCTATTTTCATATCTAATTATAAAATTTTAAACTTCAAAAATAGTTAAAATCATGTAGATCTATAAACATATGAAAATCTTGAAAATGGACGGTCTAGATAATTTGTTACAAGATGCTCTATTTCTGAGACTCAAAATTTCATATTCATATATCTCGATGTTGAGATGATCAAATAGAGGGTTTTGTCAACATTAAAACAACCTTGTTCGATAGATTTTTGAGGTGTACCCTTAATTCTACATTTTAAGGTTGCAACCTTGTATAAACTTTTTCCATAATTTAAAGCTAGTCAAAGATTTTTAGTATTGAAACTACATTTCTCGATACTATTTGAAGGTGGGCTATAATTTGACCAACCACACCAGATAGATTTTCAAGCAATTATAAGGTTCTGATACCCAAACGATATCTCAAAGTAAATTTTAGAGGTGTGCCTTAATTTTATAGTATAAGGAGGCAACCTCCAATTGATAGTTTTCCGATGATTAAGAACCCTACAATTGATCATCTCGACTTCGAGATGTATAGAAATAAAGAAAAACAACAAATTCCAAATCCAAAAATTAGTAAATCTTATAATGAGTTATCTGGACCTATAGTTTTTCGATGTTTGAGAACCATCCAATTGATCATCTCGACCTTGAGATGTATGGAAATAACCAGATCTGAAAAATATTAATCTTATATCAAGTTATCTAGACTATCTATTTTTAAAATTTTCGAATATTTATTGATATGATTGATATGTACTATTTTTGAAATTATAAATTTTATAAATATGGATAAAAATGAATTTTCAAACGATCATAAGATTTCCCAAACCAAAACATCTCAAAGTAAATTTTAGAAGCGCCAGACAATAAAATTTAGAAGCCCCAGACAACCTTATACCAACCTCATCCATAATATAAAGCCAAAGGGCTTTCTGCTCCCTCGGGGGTATACTATGCATTTACTCTCTGATATGGAACCCCACTAGAGCATACTATGCATTTACTCCCTGATATAGAACCCCGCCTAGGATAAATCTTAGGATCCCAAAATTTGGGGATATAACCTCTTTAGCAGACAGAATAATTTCAATAAAACATTCTTTTCTAATTACACTATCTATGCACTTGAAAAAAAAAACTTAAAATTGAATGGAAACCATCAAGTTTTTATAGAGCGAGATTTATAACTCAAATTCTTATTTTAAAAAAAACAGAAAAAGAAAAATGAGATTAATCATCTAGTGATTCTAATGTGATTACCCAATTTTCAGATTGAAAACAAATCCTCCCAAATAAGTCATATAAGTGAGGGTATAAAAGTAAAGTGGGGTGCCAAAGGAGCACAGTATGTATACTACGCTCTAGTATAAAAGTAAAAAAATATCATAAACAAACGATTTAAGGTCAGACAGGAAATTCAAAATTTAAATGAGATAAATAAAGAAATGGGGAATTGGATCCTAGCCGTCGATCCTGACAGTTGAGTAGGAAAACAATTAGAGCTCTCTTTCTCTCCCTAATTCCGTCTTTTGTTTCTCTAAGTCTTGCCACCATGACAGTTGAGGAGAAAGAAACAGTTGTCTTTCCCCTCTCTCTCATTTCCCTCTCTTTCTCTTTCTCTTTCTCTCTCTAATTATTTCTTTTGTTTCTCTCTCATTTTACGTCTTGCCATCGATCCTGATAGTTGAGGCCTCTCTCTCATTTTCCTTCTCCCCCTCCTCCTCCTCCTCCTCCTCCTCGTTCATTGCGTATCTCTGCCTCTTTCTCCCTCTAACTCTTGGTCTCTCTTATCTTCCCTTCTCTGATTCCATGGAACCCTCCATCTCTGATTTTTCAAATTCCTCTGGCTCTGAGGCCAAACCAGTTTCCATTGATGGAAACCAATCGACCCCAATGTTAACAATCAGGCTCAAGGTGGGCAAGAAAACAGACTCTCAATGTGAATTCAGTGCCCCCGAATCAGTTGCTTCTCAATTTGATCAGCTCGCTGGAGTTTTAGGCCTTTATAGCTGCAAGCTATGCAACCTGAAGTTCGGCTCTAAGCGATATCTCGGAGCTCAAGTTAAAGCCCATGCATCCAATTATGGTAAGTTTTTGCAGGTTCTTGAGCCAGATATGGCTTACTTCTTTCAAGATATTTTGGGTACTTTGTTAATCAAGATTTTATTAGGTGGGTTCTTTCTTAATGTTTTTCTTATCTGCTGCGTTCTTTCTGAATTGCGTACTTTTTTAATTAAGATTTTTTCTAATAATTTCCTTGTCTGAATCAAATTTTTTTGATATCGGTTCTTTTGTAATCAAAGTATTATGGTATGGGTTTTTCTCAAATTGAAGTTTCATGGTTTTGTGTTTTTGCAGGTTTCACTGACAGTGATAAGATAGGTTTGAAAGATGAGCACGAGAGGAGAAAGGATGGTTGCAGAGGAGAAAGAAAGAGCACAACAATAGAGAAAACAACAAAGCATACCCAACAAGAACCAGTGTGTGCTACGTGCACTAAGAAATTTCCCTCGATGAAGGCTGTGTTTGGCCATATGACGTGCCACCCAAAGAGAGATTGGAGAGGGATTCAGCCACCGGAAAAGCCTGTACTCGCCCGAAAGAATGAGAGGAACCTGCAGGTCAAATATTCCAGCAATGGCGCACAGATGAATTCTGTGGAAAGTTTGTCATACCATACCAATAGCACCATAACAGAAGAGAGCTCGAAAGAACATTATCCTCTCTCTCCCCTCTCAAATTGGTTGGTCACTGGATCTGGAGCAAGAAAGAACAAAATTGCCAGGTCCGAAAGTAAAGATTTGCAGAGACAGAGATTTGAGGGAGTTTCAAAAAGCATCAAACAAACTGTGCATCACTTACCCATTCTTTCTCAATCTCAAGGAAATTTGGAGGAACTGGGTTTCTTGGAAAAACAAGAAACTGACAAGGAAAGCCTGGAATCGGATCCCAAAAAGAGTGAAATCCTCCATGAAAGCTTCTTAGTTTGCCGTCGTGGCCAATGGAAGAAGAAGACGGAGGTGAAGAGGGAGGCGAGAGCTACTGAGGCAGCTGCTAATTCTGGCACACCCCAAGAAGGTGAAAACATTTCAAACTGCCATGATTCAAAGAAGAGGAAGCTTTTCATTGGAGTCTCTGCCGCTAATAACTCTGAGGAGGAAGAAGTATCACAAGAGGATGTTGAAGTTTCTGGAATTGGGTCTGAGATTTCAATGGCCTTCTTGAAAGTATCTGTCAATAAAAGACCAAAAATCAGCAGAATTCCTGACAATTTCTCGCCAGAAAGGCAAGGGAGCCATATATGCACTAAGTGTAACCAATGGTTCAATTCAGGCCAGGCTTTAGGTGGCCATATGAGGAAACATTTTGACAGACAGAAGCGTCTAGCCAAATTGAAAGCTCATCATTCTTCAAAGACGTTGATGGGTTCTCAAGTTGAATTGGGAGGAGAAAGAAAGAATGGAGGAGCAGAGAGAAGGAATGAAGAGAGAATGGGGGCTATGGATCTTAATGGGGTGATGCCTATTGAAGATGAGGATTTGAAATTTGCTATAAGTATGTTGGAAGTGGTGCCTGCTTATGCTGGTTATGTGAGATCTAGACTTTTCATGATCTCTGAGGCATAATTCAGGAGTTTGGGAAACCACAGAAAGAGGACTTTGGGGTCGTGGTTTGGAAGAGTAGAGAGCATTCTTTGGGTAACATTGCAGTGGTTTTGCCTGCAGAATTTTTTTAGCACAGTTTAGTGGTTTTCTACTGGGAAAATTATTGTATAGAGTGATGAATTTATCAATTGTTTTGGGAAAAATCTCCATTGCTCTTGAAAGTTATTTAAGCTGACAAATTGTTAAATGTAATTAAGTTTACGGAATTGGATCCACTTTGCCATTGTTTTTTTCTTTCCGGTATTTAGTTTGTGAATTGTTTTGGCTTTTACATATGAATTATCAGCCATTTTTGTAATGGGGAGCAGAGGAATAATCTCTCTTTGTGCAAGTTATTTGTTATAAGTTCATGTGCAGTGCTGTTCTTTTATTTATGAAGCCTATTTTGGTGTTACAATAGTGCCTTTTTGGCTGTTCATTGACTCTCCACCCTCAAATGATCAAAGCATTGTATGGGTTACTGTTGGATCTCTTTTCCATACCAGCACTCAAGAAAATTCTTGCACTGTATGTGGGATAGTGAAAGACCAGGCCTTAGAAGCCTCCCTATTCCCAAGAACCTGTACTACAGTAGAAGATAGTATAAAAATTGAATAGTGAAAGAGAGGGCTGAGAATGGATCGGATCAGGTTCGGATGCACCGGGATCCAGATTCGGAGTATATATGGGATCTAGATACCAATCCAGACCAGATCAGATCAGATCCAGAACATACTTGGTTGATTAGTTCTACTATAACCTGTGCTCTAATCAACATGTTACTTATGGAAAAATCAGTCTGACTAGTATGTCTAAAAAATGTCCCTTCAAATTATAAGTCCAATTGTCATATACTTGGAGGAAAAGGTGAGAAGAGTCTTGTGATGATAAGCTGTTTTTGGGAATTGAATGAAGAATCTGTTAAAGAAAAATGTTGCCAGTAGTTTAGTGACTCTAGTCCCCTGTAAGGAATATATTTGAGAATGTAATGCTGAAGCATCTAGGTGACATAGAGTGAAAAGTTACGACTTTTTTAAGTTGTTGTTTGCAGATTGGGAAAGTGGTTGCCATTATTATGGCATTTTTAATTTTCATCAAGCATAAACTTGGCATGTCCTTTTAAATTTAAATTGGAACTCATTTTACATTAGAATCAGGATTTCTTTTGCAACCAAGTAAAGTTTAATTTATAAATCAGGGTCATTAGAATGGTTTGATTGAGAGTTATGAGAATTATTGATATAGGGTCCCAGTTAAACCAGAGTTCACTATGGACCTCGGAATGTGAGCTTCCTCCTTTAAAGTTCTAATCAAATTTTCAGATATTTTTGAATTGATTGGCAACTGAAGATAAACTTCTAAGCGATCAATTTTAGCCTCATTATTTCCTTAAAAAATATATACCTTTTGTTGTGAGGAAGAAATAATGGACTATATTGCTTGTTCTGCTTAACTTCATTAGGAAGTTTGGAAGGAATGATTCTTCTTATGGTCATGATACCTTTATATTTTGGTTCAAACATTCATATGAAAGCTGGAACAGCATTGCCATTATTGACTTGTGAGCAAACCATGATATGCATGGAAGGAAGAAATAACTGGAATCTGAGGTAAACTTGAAAGGACCATGCAAGATTGTTTCGACTGATCAACTGGGATGTGATTGGGTGGAAACATAGAGACCATGTCTGAAAAACTGAAGATGCTGCATATGTAAGTTCTGTTAATAAATGTTATTATTCTTCCCCAAGGTTTAACTTGTAGTGGAAGGGCTTGCTTGATTCAAAGAGTCATGCCGTCAAACTGCAAATAGTGTTTGTACAGGAACATCGGACTGGCTTGCTTTACTCCAGCTCTTTCAGCTTGTTAGAAAATTTGCTGTGATCAGAAATTCCACGCCCTTCTATTCGGCATCAATTTCATTATGTGTAGCATCTTCAGTTTGCATGTTATAAACCGTTGACTTGCTATGTGGTTGCTCCATGGGAAAAGGTCCTTCACCTTGGAGACTTGCTGAACGCTCCATAGAGATGCTGCATTTGTTTGCACAGCCTTTGCTTTTGTGGCGGACTGTTTATTTGAAAATGGGTGTCTCAAGAAGGTTTTTGGCATCTTAGGATGTCTAGCAACACCAATGCTCATGCATTTGTCTTCTTGTACTCTTTTAAAATATGCATATTGCAGTAATGTTCAGTACAGTTTAGAGATCCAAACATACTGTAACAAGAACATTGCATGAACTTTCTTAATGAATTTTTTGAAGTATATTGAGAAGCATCGAATTAAGATTTTAGAGTTTAAGGATATAAAGAACTGTATTCTTTAATCCTTTTGCTACTCAAAACCATGCTTTTGTATCTCTAAAGAAATTAACTTGTAGTCTGACATTGATAGTGGTTATCTTATCCATGTGGTACTTTCATACAATTCAATCATTTCCAATTATGATTCAAAGTAGATTGTACAAAACGAGTTTTGATTATTTCTCATTACTTGCTGATTTTTCCGTTATTACTCTTCACTTTTTGTGCGTATTCCTGCAGAATATGGAGTGTGTTTTGCATAGAAACTCTGAAACTCGGGTTGATTTTTGAAGTGAGAAAACTTACAACCCACAACCAGCAGCATCAAGTAAAATAATAATAATAATAAAACAGGAAAGAAATAATGCAAAAAGACGATCGAGTTGGTACTTAGCAAACTCAATCTCTTACAAAACCTCTCTGTATGTATAATTTTCACTTTTTGCGTTCAAGGTTTCCCTCTCTTTTTCTCTCTATACATAAGCCATTATAAAAAAGATAAAGTTTCTAGAGGGCCAAGGTTTTATGAAAACAAAATTAAGCCTCACCTCTAATTGTTATTCGGAAAGTACTTTCAGCATTGAAAATGTTTATGATGGCTCTAAAATTAATTTCCAATACCAACAATAAAATTTGCAACTCAAAAAATTACACAAATCTTGTGGATATGTGAACACTTGTTTTTTGGGGTGAAATGGATGGTCTAAATGATTTGTTGCAATATACACTATCTTTAGCACTTGAAATCCTCCTTTTTTTTTTCACAACTTTTATATTCAAGCTGGATAGATGAATTATAATTTTTGATAAATTATGAGGTGAGGCTTTTCTTATTTTGATAGGGCTGCAGCCCTATCAAACCATTTCCCTTATAAAAAAAGCAGTGAAAAGCAGCTGAAAGGTAGGTACACTAGCACCTCTCCATATTTGAAACTTAACATTTTCTTAATTTGGGTCTACAAGTCCATCCTAATCCAAATAGGACCACCCCAAAGTTAACTCCTAGATAAGTCCTCTGGATGTAATGATTGTTTCCACTGAGTTTTTCTTGAGAGAGTTTTTAATCCAAGAACTAATTCCAATACTAATGAGGCCTCATGAAAGTAAAAAACCTTAACGACATATAGTTCATTAAATACAATATATTCATACAACCAAAAACAAACTGTTATAGTCTGAGAAATTCCCATGTAACGAAGAGAATGAGAGGATTATTATGGTGTACTGAATTGATGCGACAGTCGTTTGTGGGTTATGGATTTATAGATTTAGAAAATTTCGTTTCCTTGTCCTATGTGGGATGCTTGTTTGTGATGTATTTTTGAGGTAGAATTTCATTTCCTTATTCTAGGTGGGATGCTTGTTTCTGTATGAGACTTGAGTGCTTAAGAAAAAAAAGTCAATTCCATGATAAATTCATTTCCTTTGTTTAATTTTTTGTAAAATTTGGTCAAGACCTTTGAACCAGTCAGGATGTCATCAGTTTCCACAGATACTAGAGGATATCCACGTCATACTTGTCTGCGGCACGACATACCATGTAACTTAATCGCATCAAGTTCCCCATCCAACCCTAGAAGAATGTATTATCAGCGTTCAAACAGTTTTTTTTAGTGGTGCAATGAAAATATGGAAGTGATGAATTACAATGTGAACTTGAGGCATTGTAATGTACAACAAAGGAATCACTCAAAAGTATCGCAAGAGCATCTTATGGTTAAGCCTGAACCAAATGGTCATTCAACAACAAAATGTTGATGCCTTATGGCATATACAACAATTCCTATTTTTGCATGTAATGAATGCGTTTATTTTTGTACCACTTATGTTAAAAAGTGCTTGACATGATTAAAGAGTTGGTTTCGCAACTCATAAAACAGTTATTCTAGTTGATATTAACTTCAGAAATATTTTGTTATGGGAAAGCCTTTTCTATGATATTAGCATGAAAAGTAATTGCACCTTGATAATTTTCTAGTATTGTGGTTGATGAACCTTTGATTGTCAAAGCTACACAATTGGCTCGACTTCGGACCAACAACAACGCATACCGTTCTTTATTAACAAACTACAACAAGTTCCCATCTCTTACAATGGAAGATCAATGATTCATGATACATGGTACATGGAGAATCCACTAGCACCACCAGATCTCCAAATTAATGCCAATACATAATCATAAGAATGACTAATTTAAACATCAGCACTGAAGCCCGTGAGGAACTTCATCTGCAAATATACTTGCAGACGAACACGAGGCAACAGAGCTAGCAAATTCTTTGGGTTATTCAATATTTACTCTTGAGCTAGTAATAGTTGAGATGTTCGTGGCTTCATCAAATAGCAAGTTCTTTGGGTTATTCAATATTACTCTTGCAAAATATTTGGGTTATGCAGCGGACCAGTAGCTTATCAAATAGCCAAGCTCCGGTTTTGACCACCAAACAATTGAGCCAAATCTTTGGGTTCCATAAATGCAACATCAAGTAGCACAACCTTCAACATCGTAGAAGACAGGTAGTACCAGAACATATTGAACTCAATCAAAACCTTCAACTTCGTTGTTTATATTGTTGCCAAAATTTATACTTCATTTAATGAAAATAACTACATTTTCAAATGCATAAAGACCAAAAGGCGAAAAATAAAAAAAAAGGAAACTAAATTGTACCAAATACATAGGCCAAGAGGCCAAACTGAGATATCACTTAAATCATTCTTTCCAAATAAAAGTGTACACGGGGGGTCATAGAGTCGTCACCTACAGGGCTACAGCGCTTAAAGTTGCAATCTACAGGATCCTTGATGCTTACAAAGGACCAAGAAACACTCACTGAGTACTCTTGTCCTTTAACAGTAGCATTCATTTCCTCATCGATAATGGCATGATATGATGCTAATTAATAACAAAATTTCACTCTCATTATGCAGTTATTAAAGCCAAATCCTACACCAATGTGAATATGTGCAGATACCACACTCATGAGCCATAGAAAAT